AGGGTTACGTCCCGTTACCTCTCCGTTGAATTTCGACAGGTACGAGGTTGCATGTCACTGATTGCCGGTTCGACCACATGTGCAATGTCCACGGGTCAATTCTGCTCTCCGTAGAATTCGCACCAAATCGCGTTCTTTATCAATCGTCGTGATTCTATACGTAGCATTCATGACACCATCTTAGATCCGCGAACCGCCTACTCCGAGCCATTGGATGAACAGTAAGTTGCGGGAGGTCACCCCCGCAAGGATACCTGCGTCACAGGAACTCAAAGAAAAGCGTTCGTCGGTATGGATCACTCGGGCCATCTCGCGCCAGTGCAGCTGCACTGCATCAATGGCATCCCAGTGTCTAGTAAAGTAATAATGTGTTCTATATGCCGGGGAATCGGAATCGCCAATATTAACGGGTGATGAACATTGGTATATGGCCATCTTCCTACTGTAATACTGAAGGTTGCCTTACTGCGCAGAGACCGTGTCGTACCCGGATAGATACACACTACCCGGATAGATACACACTACGGCAGGCCTCATCCAAGATGCAGTACGAAGCAAATGTGTGTCCGGTTCAGTCAAAGAGCTCTGGAAAAAAGGCGAATTGAAACAGTAGAGTCAAGTTGAACTGCGTACCGTGGGCCTGGGCTCTGGCTACCCCTCTCCCGCGGATCATCTTGCATATGATCCAACAGCACAACCTCTCGTCTGATTTTGGTTCGAGGCGAAGAGAGAAAAACCCTTGTTGTGTGCGAAAAAAAGAGACCAACGGACTACGAGGAGGGGTTTTTTTTTTTTTTTTTCTTTCGGAGGAGAGGCCAAAGTCGATGAATCACGAGCTGTACAACAACAAGCCTCAGACGAGGGGCGTAAGAGCAATCATGGTAGCGACTGGTTGTGAATGGTCGCAGAAGGATACGCGATGTACCGTAGCCCAGTGCGGCCGGGCCAGTCAGCAGTCGATGACGGCTATAGGGAGAGGGAGAAACGCGACCGCTCTCTCCCACTACTATGGAACTAACTAGATACTACTTATTATGTAGTAGTAAGGTACGGGGATGTGAGTTCTGGTTTTCTAATACTTACTTACTGTATGTATGAAGACAACTTACATACTTTAGTTACTATACTTACTTACGTACATCTACCTACCAAAGTATAATAAATGCGAACCATTCGATCGAGCATGATTACGGGCAGTCACCAGCTGAAAAAAAAAAAAGTCCCAGTCGGCTACTCCGCATTTGTGGGTAATCCGAGCGAGTCGTCAAATAGCAATTCGTCCTTATGATATGCTGAAGGATAGGTAAAGTTGCCCGACCCTAGTCGACCTGACGAGTTAAGAGGATAGGATGGATAGATCGAGGGTTTCAGTGAAATGGGAGGGTCAATTGTGTCCGTGGAGAGAATGTGTCCCATATTATTATTTCAACTACGACAGATAAATTAAAATTCCTTGATAACGACGACTTTGGTAGGCTCTCCGTACTAGTTTAGCTAATCGTCACATTGCAGCAGACCGCAGCCCACAATTGAAGTCGGTTTGTCTACAGACTAACTAACTAATTGACTAGAGCGCAACTGACACACTGCTCACCCTAAATAGATAGGTGTGAGTTTAGTTACGGAGTAGTAGGGAAAGGCCTAATGCAAGAGAATCGCAGCTCCAATAAAGATACATACACGGTACGCTACTCTGTCGCATCCTAAGGGCCCAGAGAGGCCAGAGGAGAAGAGAAAGAAAAAGAAAGGTCACAGAGCCAAGGACCGGAGGTGTTCCTGGCCTGAATCAGGGAGGCAATGGCTGGTGAGGACTGGCCGGTGACGAGGGAGATCACCCCACCCCGAAGCCCACCGAAGGAGCGCTGGTGCTGGGACTTTGCAGGTTTAGAGGGTCGAGAGGCCGCCATCGAAAAACAGGTGTCTCCCCTACGGGTGAACCGAGACCAGTCGTCTGGTACAGCCCGGAAGCAAAGAAAGTCAATCTCCAGCTAGCATTGCAACTTGCAACGTCAAAAGAAAAAAAACCCCTCTCTCTCTCCAGACTTATCGATTCCCTGGTTTGAGAGGGGATTTACCACCTAGAAAGAACAAAAAAGTAGTGGATAATGTTGAAAGGTATGAGAAGAAGTGATGATGCCTGTGCCCCTCCTGGATGAAAGTTGGTCCCAAATGAAGAAAGAATGAATAGGTAACCAAAGGACGAAGGCATACGGCCGACCGTAACTATACGGTGGTATACTAAACTCCTACTAGTAGGTACCCGCCCCAGCCCAGTACCTCCCAGTATCTCCCGTCTCTACCGCTGTACCGCATCCATACCCTTACGTACTTGCCTGTATGTATGTACCTCTAGGGTAATAGACTTTCCCTTTTCACAGTAAGGGCCGCTCCTCCGGGGCTCAGGCCGCGTTAGGTTGAGGGTGTATCGGATGCGAGGTTCTGCAAAAGGAGTTGTCTATTGCTCGATGTGATTTTGGTCTGTGAGGGCTCAATTTCTACCCATTCTCCTGGTATCTTCCAGTAAGTAAGATACACCAAAGCGCCCCGGCTTTCCTCATGCGCTTCCGCTTGTTCCACAACACAAGTAGATGGTATATTTGGCCATGGAGGACATGCTTGAGTTGTAGACCTTTTTAGCATGTTTCACAAGCATCTTATCCGTACCTTTGAACACGAGTTTGATGGATCTGTAGGCCTAAAGATCAAACGTATGGAGGTGGAAGTAAAAGAAAAAAGAGACACCAGCCAGCCAACCGCCCATTTTGGTTGGTCAGATACCGTTGGAAACCGAGATGAAACTAAAACAGAACCATACGCTTACCTTCCAGCCTCGGTACGCGATACCCAATACCACCATTCATACGGGAAAAGCGTCATGGGTTACGATACAGCGTGGGCGAGCTAACCCGCAGCGATCCTCTCGAGACTTCTATCTCCGGCCCTCGTCCCATCTCTTTAATCCTCTTTTTCTCTTCTTTCTACTACACCCGTCTGGAGAGAGAGCAGCTCCTCCTCACTTTCCTCTCCTCCTCATTCTTCTTATCTTCACCTCCTCCCCCTTCCTTCTCTTCCCCTCCTCCCCCTTTCCTTACCACCCGCCAATTCCTTAGGAGAGAACTGAGACTGGTCTACGAGGCAGAAAAGACCGTTGACTGTCCTATAACAGTCGACCACTTCTTCAGCCAGTTGCACCAGCTCTCCAGTCGAGCCGTGTCCGTCAGCTCTCGCTTCGACGTCCTCCCCTTTCGACGTTTGTTAACTCAAACGGCGAATTCCCCCCCTATCCGACTACCGGTGCCCTATCCGTGACATCGACGGATAGACTCCCCTGACCTCAGCTCCTGCCGGTTAGAAGAGCGAAAGAGAAGGGTTTTTTTTTTTCAACGCTTTCTGTACATTTCTATATCTTGGTCGTGATCCTTTGGGAGGTGAGAACACTTCTTTTTCTTTGTCCTTCAACCCCCCCTTTTTCCCCCTGCTTGAATGGTCGGGGTTTGAGTGGTGGGTGGGTGGAAGTGGAAGACACTCTGGATGATAGTTCGACCTGCCTGGCACCGATGTCAGTGGATGTCAGTGAAGCTTTCTGCCAGTTGAGCGAGTTCCCCATGAGCCCAATTCGAATGAAGTCAGCAATTCCTTATTTCGAACTCCGAGACCTGCCACATTTCCTTCGAGGCGTGGAAACCTGAAGTCTGAGATGACCGCAATTATACGTCGGCAATATCACAATGGAAGTGCTGGATAAAGGATATTCGGACAGTGGCTGCGTATAGGTCGGGGGTTATGGACAATGGCTCATTGAGTTGGGTGTGGGCAGGGAATGCAGATGTTGCAGGTCGGATGTCCTCTCCCTCAGCCTTGGCCTGTCTCCATTCGACAGTACATGTTGCCAGAGGGAGAGGATCGTCCTTATCTTAAGCAACGAGGTGGATCGGAAGGAGGAGATCCTCATGTGCCCTGAAGAAAGAATGCGTAGCACGGCTCGTGCATATTTGACGGGGTCGACCCGGGCCCTCATACATTGGCAGACCATCAAGAAGCTTTTACCTTTTAGTCACAATTGGCGATTGAAGGAAGGAAAAGTGATGGTTAGATGATGATGGCTAACCTTTCTTTTTGCTCCTTCAACAGACAGGTTTTTCTTGATTAATATCTCAATTTGGCCTCGATTTAGCCTCCCTCCCTTTAATGTGGATTTTGGCTCTCTAAGCGCTTATCCCCTGTCGCAACACCATTTCAGTCCTGTACAGGGACGTTCGAAAGACACTGGATTGCAAACTGTATGTGGTGGTCATTCTTTTCTTTGCACTTTAATCCTTTCCCCCCCTGACGATTTCCCCACCCCTTCATAGGGTTCGTGCCTGTGCTCCTGTTTCCACATTCCGGAGCACACCCACGCTTGCTAGTTCAAGCATCGGTTCATAGGGCGAAGGCGTTTACTCGTGCTTCATCTTTCGGACTGGTATCCTACAGAGTATCATCTCAACGGATCATTCCTGCCTGTTCCTAGCCAGCCTAGATGCCAGACACGCCGTCACGGTAAGGGTTGCATCGTGCCCTCTGCCCGAAGGCTTTCAATCTGGGTTAGTATACTTTATCCCCAGGGAATCCCCTTTGCCGCCCTCGATCTTTGGGCCTTCCTTTCACCTTTCAATCCTTCCCTTCACCTCTATATCTACATTACCATCCTTTGGCACTTCACACTCGTTTACAAATTTCATTAATCTTCTAATTTTAATATTACGATTTACTAATAATTACCTTCCTTTAGCTCCGGCCATCACAAGGCTCCGCTCCAGCTGTCTACCCATCCTTCCCCTTTTCAATACCAGGCTATCGTCTCTTGTGGCCTTTGATTTTAATATTTCCCAACTAATTCCACTCATTAATCCCCTAATCCGACGACTGTCACTCTCTCACCTCCGTCGTTTCCTGATCGACACAGTTATCAGGTCCACTCTTTGAATACTTTGGGTCGACGTTATTACCAGACCGACATCATGGCCTACCACAAGCGCCCCACATCGAGCTACCAGCCCTGCGATACTTTCTTCGTCGAGTCCTACGACGAGTTCCCTGCCCCCCGTATGGATCCGAAAGAACACGCCAAGTTGATGGCTCGCGAGCGTCAGTACGCCATGGCGGAACAGCTGTCAAAGATTACCAGCGAGGAATTCCGTGATGACGTTCTGGCGCACATGCTGGACATGGATGCTGCCACCCTTCCGGACGTCGAGTCAATCGATATCCAGACTGAGATTCAGTGGTTCATGCGTCCATACCTGCTCGACTTCTTGATTGAAGCCCACACAGCATTCCAGCTCTTGCCATCGACCCTCTTCCTCACCATCAACCTTCTTGACCGTTACTGCTCCAAGCGTGTTGTTTACAAGAGACACTATCAACTCGTTGGATGTGCTGCCTTGCTCATCGCAGCCAAGTATGGCGACAAGAAGGACCGCGTGCCTACCATCAAGGAACTCAAGTCCATGTGCTGCTCGCTATACGACGACGACATGTTCATCCAAATGGAGTGGCATGTGCTGCAAACACTGGGGTGGACCATTGGACACCCGACTGTCGATAGCTTCTTGCAGATGGCCGTGATGGATTGCCCGTATGATGCCGAGGTCGAGCATCTAGCATTGTACATCTCGGAGATCTCGCTGTTCCATCGGGAATTCGTGTCCAAGCCATCGTCGGATCTCGCCCGGGCCTCTTTGGCTCTGGCGCGCTGCATCCTCAACCGGACTCAGCCTCGTCACACAGAATGGGCGTCCCAGTACGACTCGATGACGCTCGTGGGTTTGTCGCAGCAGCTTCACCAACCCTCCCAGGTACTTTCCAGGAAGTATTCCTCGGCTCACTACTCCCGTGTGTCCAAGGTGCTGGAACAATTCCTTGCCCGTCAAGCTTCGATCGCAAGCTACACGCCCCCCAGCCCGCAAACGGACGTTGTCCAACCCGAGCCCAAGCCATACGAAGGCGAGATTGGGCTTGCTACACCGCAGAAGGCGACCCAATCATCGGCCATGGCGCACGGTTATATCACACCGCCAATCACGCCGGAGAACGAGGCTTTTGCCAATGGTGGTAATCCCACCTTTGCCAAAGGCATAGCAGGAGCTAGTGCTTGCTCGCCATCGCCGACACCTCCGCCCAGTATGCAGTACGTGAGCTCTCACACGTATTCGCAGGACACCACGTACCAACAACAGTTCCTCCAGCCCAACATGTCATTCAGCACTGGTTACTGAACTCGACACAAGGGTTGAAGAAGCTGCTCATCAATAATATACCAACATATTGCTTGATACCTGAATACGATGTATTTTTGCATCTTGTGCCATAACTGCCGATCTGGTTGGAACCAGAACCTATACAGACCTGGTTCTACTTCGACACCAATTTCGTTCTATCTCCGTCTTTGTTTCTTTGTCTAAAAATTGCATACCCCATCTCCTTGTCTTCCGCATATCATCTCTCGGGACTACCCCCCGTTGCATTCAGCTTGTTATTTCTCTTCTTCTACAACTAGCATTGCAAGCGCGAGCCGTTCGAGTACATTTGCATTTATGTTTTCGTTTTCCATCGCAGCCCATGGGTAGCGTCACACATTCCTGCGCTTCCTTTAGTGGATTGCGATGACCAAGCTGGGTGTTTCGTTTTAACTTTCCGTTTCTAGTTCTCCCCTTTTGTCCCTATCTACCCCTTTCACAACCTTCATCAACCTTGTCCCCTTCACAACACCCCTACGTAAAGAACATTAATGTGGCTTAACCTCTGACCCCATGTTTCCTTCTATACACGCAGGTCGCATACAAGACCCTGCACCGTGTTTTCTATCCGAGCACGGTATCTGTTTTCTTCCTGGTGGAATGAGGTCCCCCAAAAAAAGCAGAAAAGAACATTGTCAAAACCGACCAAAAAAATCTGTGTGGTCCGGGGAGGAAAATGCAAATGAGAAAATACCAAACAGATATGAATTTTTGTTATTTAATAGTTGGAGAGAGATGCAGATGCAGATGAAGGATCTGTCATCACAACAATTATGGACCGGTGGATGAAAATTGACCATTCCATTTACCTTTACTGCTACTATACTTTCTTCTTCTCCCTCTTCTCTCGTTCATCCGGATGATACCTTGATCGATCGATCTATCTCCTTAGTTTTCATTTTCCCTTATGGTTCAATCTCGCATTTGCTTTCCTTTTCTTTTTTATCTCGTGGAAAGTCAGATCTTGAGCGACTACATACACATACACATACACATACCCGATTATACTATTGGTATAATACCCTTCCAAAGTAAGCTACATGCATAGACTACCCTCTAGACAATCCCACATACCCTGTACACCCCATCCATGAATCAATCAATCAATCAATCAATCAATCAATCGTGCATACGCACGCGCGAGAGTGAGTGCCCGACATGCCCGACTCGGGCCAGTCCGTCTTGGCTACAGCTGCCTGCCACAATGGGATACTTTTCACTTTCCAGATGTGAATAGACAGATAAAATATTCTTTCAGTGGGTATGTAGTTATTGACATACTTCTGAGATAATCATCCCAATATTGAAGAGATAAGTTACTAGTATAGTGGTCTTTGAGATGATAGAGTATTCTTCATTAGATAGATAAAATGTATACTTACTTAATTCATGTTAGTAGTAAAGACATGCGCAGTCAACAATAAGTGCTAAGACAAGTTGAGAAAACTTGGCAGCATAATAGGAGCATAAATGTGTGTTTGCTTTCCTGCTTGCTATTGTCTGTACTGTAGACAGGGTCGATGTTGTTTGTCTGTTTGCCTATCTGTCACTTTCCGATCTTGGATAGATGGCTGGCTGGCCGTTGATGCCGCTGCTGTGCATGCAGTGCTTCATATCATGTAGTCATTCACTACTACTACCACCATTACTCTCGTCTACATACTGTAACCTGTCAACCGGCCTGTCAACCTACCTACCTTCTAAGTTACCTAGTTAGGTAAATGCCAGGAAAGTAGGTAGGTAGCTTTTCTGCCTGAGCATCATGCAGTACGATGTGGTGCGAGTGGTCAGGTGATGTGCTGGCTGCTATTACTAGTCATAGTGGGAAGTATAGTTCTAGACTTTTTTTTTTTCTTTAGCTCCTGTGTCATTTTCTGTGTTATCTGCAGATGCGGAGAGGATTGAGAGATTCGGATCGTATCTCTGTCTGTGTATGTATGGATAACGACATGCCAGCACATTCACACGGAGCATATGTCAAATGTCAATTGTCGATAGTGTGGGGAGTGTATGGTGTCTGTTGGGATGTGACTTGAACAATAGGATCAGGACAAGACAAGTGTACAGTACAGTACGTCAAATGTGGGAGGTATCATGCCACGGGGTAGAAAGTGGGTAATGAATGCAATGGAATTGCGGGGAAGAAGTGTTGTCAGTGTTGTCAGTGTTACTTGGTTTACTGTTTTCTGGTGTATGCAGTAGGTATGCGGTGGGGGATGGATTCGGTTTAGTCGGGTTGGTGCAAAGTCAATGGGAGATAGTAGCTACTTTGTATGGATGGATGGATGCAGACACTTGTAGTAGTGGTAGTAATCATGACAATTAGATTATCTGGTACAACCTCACTTAGAATGTATCCAAGTAAGTTCTGTGAAATAGTATGTGTGACATCAAAATAACGGCAACAACAATCCAAACCAGTCAACAGCCGATGGATAGTAATTGGTAACAGTAGAGCGTCAGTCATGTCGAGCAATAATGATGGTACATCAGGGTGTGTGTTAGTGTGAGTGTGAGTGTATGTAGGAGGCAGGTAGCCCGCGACCAGCGCAGCACCTGCCCACCCGCCCAGACTGGGCCGGTCGGCAACTGTCATGGCCTGAGTATAGGCGATGCAGATGACTCCGCGTCCAAGTCGGACGAGAGAGCGAACGAGCGAATGAAGGAATGACATGACATGACCGTGATATGACATGAAGCACATAATTAGGACAGGAGCCGAAAAGAAAAGGTAGTCCTGCAAGATCAAACCCACGCTATGCGGAATGACAAAAGCAGAGAAGGGAGGGCAGAGAAAAAGCATCAGCACGATATGGTACAGCCAGAAAAGAAGAAATAATAAAAAAAAGGGATAGGAGGATGGTGTCGCGGTTGCTGCTGACAAGGGACGGCAGAAGCAAGGGCTGGCCCGGAACTATGCCGTCGCTGTCTCGAGCGTAGATAGACACAACCGGGTTAGAGTTCGTGTCCGTCCTCAACTCAGTCTTGCCAGTGGATGGATGGAGGGATGTAACACGTGTGCCTCGTCACAGTGTGAGGAGACACGGAGCAACAGGAACACGAAATCTCCGAAAGGGTAAAAGAAACCAAATGATACAAGGGCATGGCGTCGGAAATCCGAAAAAGGGCGTCAAAAAACAAAAAGAGGCACAATAGTGTACAATGATCGGGAAAGGAAATCAAGTCCAGAAGGTAATCTTGACGGAAGGGCAAGACAAGAATCCGGGGCAACGATTCGCAAGGGAACCGACGGCAACGGAGAGAGTGAGAGACAGACAAGAGACAGCAAAGGATAGCAGCGCTGCAATGCAGCATTGTCAGGGGGGCGGTGACGAGAGTCCAGAGCATGCCATCCCATCCGTCGGTTGCCGGTCGAGAACGAGAGACGCCGAAAAGATAGTTGACCAGACCAGCTGTCGATCCGTCGCCTCACTTTTGGACGAAGCCGCGCGGATAATCGGCCCTTCCGGCGACAAATAGTCCCCAGCAACTGCCCAGCAGCGCTTCCGGAAGGGAACTCCCCCCGACTGGAGGGTTGGAAGAAACCAGGATGGGTTTACTTCCACCGTTGCTTGTCCCAATCAGAAGGTCTCGTTTCATCGTAGATCTGCCCTCCCCGGTTGTGGACAATCACCGGGGGTTGTGTACGGCGTGGGACAGCATTGGGCCCTAAGGAGAGACAGACGCCGGATTAGCTTCCGTGATCCAACAAGATGTGGATAGTAGATTTGAAGTTGCAGATGGGGGAATAGACATACCTCGTAGATCTGAGACTACAACACGGTCACCGCTGCTGCCACTGCTGGACAGGGTAGAATTGGAGTCGTTGACTTTGTGAGGCATATTGATGGTTTGAGAAAAAGAGATGTGAGAGAGTTGAGTAGATTGTTTTGTAGTAGTAGTGGTGGTAGCTTGGTAGAAGATAGGAGGTGAGATGGGATAGTAGACGGTAAGAGTTAGAGAGGAAAGTAGATTTATATAGTAAGTATAAGGATGGCAGTCGGTGGCGGAGCAAGGCTCAGTACGAGGCCAAAATCCGAAGTGTAAGAGAAGAGGGTGAGAGAAGACGATGAGAGAAGAAGGACAGATGAACGTAGGGTAGAAGTAGTTAGAAACTAGGAGTAGTCTTGGGTTGAAGATGTTGTTGATAGTAGTAGTCTGTGGTAGATAAAAAAGAAGCGATTTCCAGACGGACGGCAGGAGGCTTTTGTATGTTTTCCCCGGAGGAGGGAAGTATAACGGTATCCAAACGGAAATAGAATAGAAAGCAAAGCAAAGCCAGAATAATGCTCCAATCCAGAAAAGGATCAAGTCGAATCAGATCCCGTTCAGTTTAGCTTCCCCCCCCAGGGACTTGGATCTAGACGGTAAACTCACACACTTCACTAAGCCAGCCATGACGGAGAAGCAGATCGATCATCTTGCAGGACTGACTAGTCGGTGGGCTCTGCTGCCTTCCATTCTTCCCCCCCCATTTGCATTACCAGCCTGCGGCGGCCTGCTACATGCTATGCTACAGGCTACATACTAGTTACATGCTACGAAAGCATCGTCGATCTAAAAGAAGTCCGCGACAAAGACGTCATGGGGTGGCCCCCAGGCAAAAGGAAATCGAATGTCTGGAATCCTCGTCGAAGCCTCGAACTTCGCCCAGGGTGGTGGTATCCACCGCCCCTGCCAGGGGCGAAATTCAAGGACAAAAAGACGAGGCAGCAAACCAGGTGATTCGTCATTCTAGTGACACTCTCACGATGGGGGATGAGTAAGTGTTTCAATTGGGTTTGGGGGATGATTCTGATAGGAGAGTTGCTATGCTGATAGCCTGAGCCTGAGCCCTGGAGCCTGAAGGGGAATGGGAGTCAGAGAGCCTGGGAAACAAAGTGCCTGGGAGCAACAGACAGACAGGCAGGCAGGCAGGCTTCCCTCGGCACCGCCCGTCAAGTCATCAGGCAATGCCCTCAGGAGACTGTGGCTGGAGAGTTGGACAGACAGGCTGAATCCACTCTCCTTTCTCGTCTGGCCGAAGAGCCTGGGTGATGTGGCGGTACGAGGCTGAGGCGGTCATTTCACCAACTGGCCTTGCCTTTGGGTAACTACTCATTAGTTGGACTAGTTGTCGACAACTCAACTTTTGCCAGTTGCTGATGCTGTCCAAGCTGGAAATCAATGCTGGTAAGGCCCAATACCTTACCGACTCGCCTTGGGTCACGGGAAGCCAGCTCCCCCTGGGAATGTTACCCCCTAAAACCAGGGATGCGCCTGATGATTGGGTCAGAGTGGTCACAATAATGGTCATTTACAGCCTTATACCACCCCCACTGGTCACCTGACAGTCGCCCAACTATTAATAACGAGCCAATAATACACTTTCCATACCATCCCATAAATAACACATCTAACCCAATTGGTGCTTGCCCCATCCATCCCGAAACAGTAAGAGTGGAAGGGGACCTGAACCTCAGGCACACTTACTCATAGTAGTCTCGACCGAACCGAACATCTCCTCTCTTCCAAGTGGATCAACATCCTCCACACCTGATTGACTTCCTTACTATCTACGGAAACTTCCTGTGTTAGCTGGCAGCAAAGTAAGCTCCAGTTTATTAGAACGACCCGCGAAAAAGTCCAAAATAGCAGTCATCGTCGTAGTCGTCGCCGTCCTACCCAACTGGTTTACTACTATTCCTGTCACACGGACAAAGTACGGTTTTACCCTACCTTAGCTAAGTAAGGTAATTTGAACATCGCAACCCATCCCCATCACCGACTCGACTAATCACTACTCCGGAGTACAGCATCTACTGTATGCTGTGTATTGTACTCGAGACAGACCTGCCTCTCAGGAGGGGGGTGGATGGATCAACCACCCATCCACACCACTCACTCACTTACTCACTCACCCCCTTATCTCGGGTCTTAGCTTTTCTCTAGTCGCAATAAGAACCATACTTTGATGAAGCCCGATTATTAGGCAAGAAGTAAAGCAGTGAAAAATAAACAGCTCATTCTCCCAATAATAGTCTTGATGATGATGCTGACGATGGGAAAATAGCTCAAACGTTTCAGTAAATGATAGATGGATAGATAGCTCCAAGCTTATTATCAGGGTAATTATCATTCCCCAGACTATTACCACCATCAGCAACTATCTACTTCCGGATCTAGTCAGTAAGCTACCATAGCAGAGTAAGCAAGCTACACTAGAGCTAAATCCAGTAGAAACCATACTTGGTTCCTTTACCGACTCAACTCGCTTCACCTCCCTCCTTTTTCCATCAAGTAGATTAGATTATTGAGACATACTAAGGCAATATGGAGTAAATAATTTAATCCCCCACCCCCCATCACATTATTAAAATTATTATCCTCGGGTAATCACATCCATCCCATTCCATACCTACTAATAGTATCCGTAACGGAATAATAAATCAGACCATGCACCTGGAAGAGAGAAAACTAACTCAACTTACTATCACTTACTCACCGCTACAATCATATAATCCGGAGTAAGAAAGAGACAGAGAAGTCACTCACCTAGATACTATATTCCCTCTGTCTAGGGAAATAACCTAAATCACCCCAACAATCCACCTAATACCTACCTTAGTAAGCACACCGCTACATCCATCCACCCATCCATCCCACTCAACCGACCGTGCCCATCCAGCCCGTCCGTCTGTCTGTCAGGTACAAAAGCAAAAGCAAAAGCAACTACTGACGTGACGTGACCCCTTGTGACCCTCCTATGAACTATCGCCAGCTGTGCCTGCATCACCACTTATGTAATATCTTAGTAAGTAATTAATGGGCAGCAGTCCAGTTAACTAGTTAGTAGTGTACTTACTAGACACTAGTTGGGGTTAGTGCCATACTGCCAGGTCAGCAGGCAAGCAAAGAAAGAACTAGACCCTAATCCGGGTTAGTTAGTCCCCCGTAAGTTCGAGACAAGAAAATAATAATAATAATAATAATAATAATAACGACAATGACGGAAAGGAACGAAGGCGAAGGATGGTAAAGAAAGTGAGGCGGGATTGGATTATTGTGGCTGGCTTGCTTGCGTGGGTAATGGAAGGTTCCTGAATGGATGGTTGATGTTGTTTTATTCATTTCATAATGTTTGCATGTTCTTATAGTAGTTAGGTGCATACGTACATACATACATCACTGGTAGGTCATACGGAGTGAGTTATTCTACTTCTTTACTTACTGAGGACGGATGGATGGATGGACGGTCGAAGTGATGCTGAGGACTGAGGACTGGCTGGGGTGGTAAGGTGGCTGGCTAGTACGGATGGGGGTTAGTGGGCTGAGCTGAGTTCGTGTTGAGTTGAGCTTGGTCGGTGTGAATACTTCCCATACTCATAAAGGGCATAGGTATGGTGTTCTACGAAGGATTGCTAGAAGGTATGGGGCTGTACTTGCTAAGTGTAAAGATGCTATACTACCATGTAGTTTGATGGTTTGATCATGACTTCGTAATGCGCCCACAGATTATAGCTGACCAGTATATACCCTGTCTTCGCCAGACGCCACACACCATTCTTCGTACGGCTACGAAGATGGTCCATTGTTCTCCCTCTTCATGCGATCCGCCCATCCATTCATGCTTCGTCGAATCCCTAGCGTCCGTCGCATCGTCGTCGCTGGCCCCGTCTGCACCATCGACATGGTAGTCGTGTGATACGTGGCCACCGGTCTGGCTCCCCCGACGGTTCCTGAAAGACTCTTAATCTCGCTTGTCCGCAAATCTTTCCCTGCTTCGCCTCTTCCTTCGTCAGTCGACTTCGGTCCCTGAGTGGCGCGCGAGAACGGCTTCTGTCCCTCCGAGGGCTTCGAGGATGCCGCCAACCAGGTGTATTGGTTCGGGTCGGATGGTTCGAGAACCGGTCGAGGCGGTTGCAACTTTGGCCCTTGCGGGCGATACGTCCGGAGATTCGATGGGATCACACTTTTAAACTCAGAGTTCGACGATCCACTGTGACGCGTTTGCCCTACCGCGTCTCTTCGGTTGCCCTGAGGCTGGTAGCGCCCAGCCGCGCCTGAACCGCTCTTCGGGCCTGACGACGAAGGCTGCCCGAAGAATCCGGAGATCGTTTTCTGCGATAGTCCGTCCGATTTGCGACCGACGATGCTGGCAGCTACGGCGTTCGGTTTGGTCTCGGCTTTGGTTGGGGGTTGTTCTGGGGCTGGGTCGCTGGTCGCTATGTATTCGCGGGCTGTCGAGAAGCCCAGGGATAATGTGGTGGGCACAGAAAAGTTGGAGCCATTCATGGTCGGCGTCGTCCACGACATGTAGGTTGTCGTCGATGCGCCCGATTGCTCTTGATTGAGACGTTGTCTCTTAGGGTTGGGCTCCCCGCCCATGGCTCTGGTGCCGTCCCAGCGAATGATGGCATCAGGTGCCTCGAAGCCATCTTCTGTCCACTGATCATCATATGGGATATCACAGGTAGATCGTCCTTTCGATATAGCAGCTGAGTCCGGCATTGGTCGACGTAGGATATCAGCGATGTCTTGGATAATCCTGTCGTTGATTTTCGGCCCGAGGAACCGGAAACGCTCCTCTACTAGCTTTGATGGGAGGAAGCTCGACAATGTTGCCTCTTCACCATCGCGGGACTGTCGCAGAGGATAGCTAAGATATAGCAATGCCTGTGCCCTGGTCATGGCTACATAAAGCAGTCTTCGCTCTTCATCGGAGTCTTCGGCGCGTGAATGTGGGATAATGCCATTGAGTACGGCAGGCACAAACACCACAGGCCATTCAAGGCCTTTTGCTGCATGAATCGTGGAGATGGTTACCTTCTCATTGGATTGCTCGCCCTCTTCACCTTCTTGCGGAAGAACCTCTGTGGACAGAGCCACATTCGCCAAAAAGCGAGACAACGCCTCTTCGCCCGGATGGGCTTGTTGTTGTTCGATGCCCTGTATTTCCGGAAGACTTTCCTCATTTACAGCCTCATTCTCTGGACCAGGTGTGTCATCAGCTTGGGTCAAGAGCTCCTCCACGTTGGCCCACCGGTTCTCCTCATTCGAGCCATGCAACGCCTTGAGGTATTCTCGGAACGATAGCTTTTTGATCAAAAAATCGAGGAGCTTCCTCGGTGACGACCCGTCGGTACATTCACGGAGCTTCTGTCGAGCAGACTCGATGAGTCCAACCAGGGTGCAGAGTCCGTTGTCAGCAGGCTTTGATAGAGATTTCTCCGTTGAACTGCGACCTTGAGCAACATCCTTCATGAAGTCCCAGAGCGGCTTCTTCGCCTTCTCCGCGCCCTTTGTCAATATATTGACCGATTCATCACCAAGTTTTCTAGACGGCACATTAATAATGCGCAGGAGAGCATCGGTGTTACCCGGCTGGCTAATGACTCGAAGATAGTCCAGGAGCAACTTGACCTCTACTCGGTCAAAGAACCTTAAGCCACCAACCATCCGGTACGGAATCCCATGCTTTCCCATTTGGGCTTCTATTTGTCGCGAGAGAGCAGCCGACCTCAGCAGTATCGCAAAATCCGAGTAGTTCACAAGCTTTCCCGTCAAGGCGATGCACCTCTTGATCTCCAGAACAATCCAGAGGGCCTCCGACTCCGAGTCAGGCAGCTTGCGCAGAACAGGCATCGTGCCCAAGCTATGCGTCGGCTGCAGCTTCTTCGCCGGCCGTGATGAATCTTGTTCGATGACATCTTGAGCCGAACTCAGGATACACCCAGACGATCGGTAATTGTCCTCCAGCAAGACGACCGACGTATCCTTATATAGCTGCTGCATACGCCCCAAGTTCTTAATCTCAGCAGATCGGAAACCATAGATACTCTGATCCGGATCCCCAACAACAGTGATCCGTTGATTCTGGGACGCAAACAAATTCATCAACTCATACTGGATATGGTTCGTATCTTGGAACTCATCAACCAGAACAGCTTGCACGTTCGACACACACTGCGGATGCTTCCTGAGCAGTTCCACGCACCGCACAAGTAGATCATCGTAGTCCAGCAAACTTGAAGCTGCCAAATTTGCCTCATACTCACGATATACCTGAACAAACTCTCTCTGCTCCAGAACCTTCGAATTCTTGTTCAATTTCGCCGCCAGCTCATCCGGACTAACTCCATGAGCTTTCTGGTGTGAGATCCTTGCCCTCGCTGCATTGGGCTGGATTCCGACCTGCAATCGCTTGATGATCCTCTGTAGGAGTCAGCAACAGACACAGACACAGACACATAGACCATGTAACCTAGACCACCTACCTTGATAATCGCCAAGCTATCTCCTGAATCCGCAATACCAAACCCCTTCTTCAGCCCGATCAGATACCCATACGTTACCAGATATCTCCGACAAATAGAATGGAATGTTCCCAGAA